AATTGGTATCCTTTGGGCAGGAAGGGTTAGCCTTCAGTGCAGAGGATACTGAAGCAGGAGATGCGATTATGCAGACTGGAGGTTACATTTGCATTAGGTGGTGTTTTGGGGTTACAGGGAGGATTAGTGTGAGGGCAAATCACCCATAATGGTTATATTCCTACATACACACAAACAAGGTGGATGAAGGATGTTTTCCCCCGGGACACTGTATTTTGAAAGCACCACTTGCTGCTCTTAGAATACACTGATAATCAGCTGCATCCCCCAATTGATAGGAAATTTTTCAATATGTCCTTTCCACAGGAGTCGATGAAACAATCGAGTGGGGAAGCCTACAAACACTGATCGAAGTCTGATCACTGTATGGCCAGTTTTAGTGCTAGGAGTCTTTATGGTAGGGCATTGTAATGTGCAACGTGTTATCATAATTTCATGCGATTTATTGTTATGCATGTTATGCCAACCATTATTCTATTATGAAACCATAACTGTGTCCTTTGCTTATACAAAACATTATACAACAATATACAGTCAGGTCCATAAATATTGGGACATCTACACAATTCCAACATTTTTGGCTCTATACACCACCACAATGGATTTGAAATGAAACAAACAAGATGTGCTTTAACTGCAGACTGTCAGCTTTAATTTGAGGGTATTTACATCCAAATCAGGTGAACAGTGTAGGAATTACAACAGTTTGCATATGTGCCTCCCACTTGTTAAGGGACCAAAAGTAATGGGACAGAATAATAATCAAAAATCAAACTTTCACTTTTTAATACTTGGTTGCAAATCCTTTACAGCCAATTACAGCCTGAAGTCTGGAACGCATAGACCTCACCAGACGCTGGATTTCATCCCTGGTGATGCTCTGCCAGGCCTCTACTGCAACTGTCTTCAGTTCCTGCTTGTTCTTGGGGCATTTTCCCTTCAGTTTTGTCTTCAGCAAGTGAAATGCATGCTCAATTGGATTCAGGTCAGGTGATTGACTTGGCCATTGCATAACATTCCACTTCCTTCCCTTAAAAAACTCTTTGGTTGCTTTTGTAGTATGCTTTGGTCATTGTCCATCTGCACTGTGAAGCAGCGTCCAATGAGTTCTGAAGCATTTGGCTGAATATGAGCAGATAATTTTGCCCAAAACACTTCAGAATTCATCCTGCTGCTTTTGTCAGCAGTCACATCATCAATAAATACAAGAGAACCAGTTCCATTGGCAGCCATACATGCCCACGCCATGACACTACCACCACCATGCTTCACTGATGCGGTGGTATGCTTAGGATCATGAGCAGTTCCTTTCCTTCTCCATACGCTTCTCTTCCCATCACTCTGGTACAAGTTGATCTTGGTCTCATCTGTCTATAGGATGTTGTTCCAGAACTGTGAAGGCTTTTTTAGATGTCGTTTGGCAAACTCTAATCTGGCCTTCCTGTTTTTGAGGCTCACCAATGGTTTACATCTTGTGGTGAACCCTCTGTATTCACTCTGGTGAAGTCTTCTCTTGATTGTTGACTGACACACATACACCTACCTCCTGGAGAGTGTTCTTGATCTGGCCAACTGTTGTGAAGGGTGTTTTCTTCACCAGGGAAAGAATTCTTCGGTCATCCACCACAGTTGTTTTCCGTGGTCTTCCGGGTCTTTTGGTGTTGCTGAGCTCACCGGTGCGTTCCTTCTTTTTAAGAATGTTCCAAACAGTTGTTTGGCCACGCCTAATGTTTTTGCTATCTCTCTGATGGGTTTGTTTTGTTTTTTCAGCCTAATGATGGCTTGCTTCACTGATCATGACAGCTCTTTGGATCTCATCTTGAGAGTTGACAGCAACAGATTCCAAATGCAAATAGCACACTTGAAATGAACTCTGGACCTTTTATCTGCTCATTGTAATTGGGATAATGAGGGAATAACACACACCTGGCCATGGAACAGCTGAGAAGCCAATTGTCCCATTACTTTTGGTCCCTTAACAAGTGGGAGGCACATATGCAAACTGTTGTAATTCCTACACCGTTCACCTGATTTGGATGTAAATACCCTCAAATTAAAGCTGACAGTCTGCAGTTAAAGCACATCTTGTTCGTTTCATTTCAAATCCATTGTGGTGGTGTATAGAGCCAAAAATGTTAGAATTGTGTCGATGTCCCAGTATTTATGGACCTGACTGTAGGTACTTTTATTATCAAAATACAGAAATATAAAGGCGCATACATACCCTATGCAGAATTTCCAAAATTTTGAAGGCTGTATTCAGAAATGTGTTGAAAATCCTTCTTTCAGAAAACGGGATTCCAATTTTTGTTAGTTTCAGGAGATGTAAAACGACATCTTTAAAGAGCTGTATTAGCCGCATGAACTCAAGGGGTTCGAGTACAGACCACCAGTTTTCTATAAAACAAAACAATACACATTACAAACTGACAACTTTGAAGCACAAAGAACTATACAATTCTAAAAAAAGAATTCTTACCCTGACAATTATCGGAAATCATGCAGCGTATTGGTACCAAGGGGGAGGTTGACTGTAAAGTGAGCTCTCCAACATCTTACAAGCAAGTCACTGAACACAAACTAAACTCAAGCATTACTAAACATTCAACTGGACTTGTTCTTAATGCTAAAGACATCAAGTATCTTCTCTAAGCCTGGAAATTCAGTTGAATGTGGCCAACTACTACCAGATATACCTTGACCGAGAAAAATGAGAACCTTCACAAACAAACCCACTACAGGTTACCAGCATGCTACAGAATGCAAAGAAGTGAAGAAGGGCTTAAAGTGTCCCTGTCAGCACACCATCCTCTGCAAGTATTCAGCTGGTCAAAAGGGTTGAATATTTGTTTACCCTCAACTAGCTGTGTTCCTTCTGCTGGCTCGTATGTCTTGTAATGACCGATATACAAACCAGAAAGAGAAACCACAGTGAGTGGCGGGGGAAAAGGTTGTCAGCACACCAGGAAGTACATGAATACTTGCAGAAGATGTTGAACAGAAAAGAACTGCAAATTGTTAAGAAACAAGCTTCCTTCAATAGTTAAGTATATGAAGTCTTCTTTATGTACTATACAGAAAAAAACTCTGTGTTGACAAGGGCACTTTAATTATTGAGAGTTCATCAGTCCATCACACAATACTGATGGAAAAACATGAATTTTCAAAGACAGTTTCACCAATGACCATCTATAACCCATTTCACTGGAAAAGAACTATTGGGCTGATTTTATAAGGGCGACTCCACTCCTAGTGACACCTTGCCAGTGGGGGTGTCATGCTGAAGTGTCTGTGGCTTAACTCTGTAGAAATGCTCCCTCACTGGCCCTGAACACTGCCAAAACATTTTCTCTCAGTCAAGTAGAAAAGAGAACACCAAATGAAAAATCATTAGAAGTACAAAGTCTTACAAAGTTTTTAGTGAACAATGTAAGCTGCTCCAGGTCGGTTTACTCACTAAGATCCCACACATCCTGCTCGGGTGCAAGCCCAGCTCCTCACACTGAACAATACATATGAGAAGGAGTCCCTTCTCATAGACTAAGGCTGGCCATAGACGGGCCGTTTATCGCCCAAATTGTCGGCCGATAAACGAAAAAAAATTGGTCGTTGCTGCCACCAATGCTTACGAAAAACGGCCCTTTTTTCGGAGATTTTCCAGCATGACCGATAAAAAGAAACAAGAAGGTCTGCGAAAAACGGCCAATGGCATTGCCCCACTAACGGTGTGAATATCGGACGATTTTTCGGTTGGATGAAAATTTGGCCGATAAACGAACCGTCTATGGCCTGCAAAAGTGTTTATTGTTCAACTGATTACAACAACAAGCAGGGAAAAGGACATCCAATGTGTTTCGGGAGCCACACAATCCTCCTGAGTGAAATGGCAGAATGTTAAATGAACTCAAAAGTACTCCTAAACAGACGGATCTGAAGGCAGAGAATGTTATAAAGAACAGTTAGCGGTGGTGTTCACAGTAATGGTAGCAAGCAGTGCTATAACAAAGCAATCTCAAGAGACTGGCAATCTTTTAGCAATCCTGACAATGGCAATTTGATACCAGTGTCAAGATCACTCATGGGATATTGGCCTTAGGATATCAGTTGGCGGGTGGTCATGGGAGCATTTTATGACTGGATTTCATCTTTTCATCTCTTAACTCGAGGTGACAAGTGACCCTTTCTCTGCCAAAGCCATTTTAGGCTTAAAAATTACCCAAAATCCCAAAAACATATCCTGAGATCCTACAGAATAAAATGATGCCAGTTGCATTTTGTATGTCACAATAATATCATTAACGATTTCTCAAACCTATATTTTTGGTAAAAAAAATATACTCAAATTCATTTTAGTGCAAATACAATATAATATAGTTTTTTGGGGGGTAAAATATATGAATTTGCAACGTCAAAATATGTCAAGCCTCAACATTTGTTAAAAAATATATAAAATACATGAAAAAAATAAAAATAACAATGTGTGTGTGTATGTACATACACACACACACGAAGATGTAACATTCTTTTGCTTCCGCTGTGTGATGGCACCTAGCCAACAGGTGGAAAGCCTCACGGTCATCATTCACTGCGTGTGCTGCTAGTAGTAGAGTCAAGTCAGAGCTTACTGGGATTCAAAGAGGGCAAATTCTTGGTTCCTGCTTAGCTGGTGTTTCTGTGACTGAAGCTGTCAAAGTATCTGCCATTTTGCAAGGTACAGTATCAAAGGTTATGACGGCATATACAGTTTCTAGGCAAAGGTCATCTGATAAGCATAAGCGTGATTGACAACTGACCAAAAGAAACAAAATGGATGCTGTACATGATTGGGACCCTTAATAAAAAACAAAAAAAACAAAAAAAAAAAAACAACTGGTGCAAAAGTGACTGCAGAGCTCAATCTCAGTCCTGTATTAGATATACCGTATTTTTCGCTCCATAAGATGCACTTTTTTCCCCAAAGTGCGTCTTATGGAGCGAATATGGAGCAGCCGGTCTGGTATTTCTGCCGCCGCCACAATGTCAGGGCCCGGCGCTCAGCTCTTCTCTGCAGCAGGACCTTACCTGTTCCCCTGTCCAGCGCGCTGTGCAGTCTTCCCACGCCGGTATTGTTAGTGTGGGCACCCGACTGTGACAAACGGGTGCACACTGCGCATGCGCAAAAACCGCTGCACTTTGAGAATTGTCCAGTGTCTTCTGAGACACATGACAGGTCCCAGAAGATGCTAGACCATTCACAAAACACAGCGCTTCTCGCGCATACGCAGTGGGCACCCGGCACAGCCGGACACAGCTCCACTGCGGAAGTGGGAGTGGGTATCCGCTCCCCCTCCCTCCCCAAAGGTCTGCAGTCTCTTGGTCATCCCCTGTACTGTCCGCAGTCTCTTGGTCATCCCCTGTACTGTCCGCAGTCTCTTGGTCATCCCCTGTACTGTCCGCAGTCTCTTGTTCATCCCCTGTACTGTCCGCAGTCTCTTGGTCATCCCCTGTACTGTCCGCAGTCTCTTGGTCATCCCCTGTACTGTCCGCAGTCTCTTGGTCATCCCCTGTACTGTCCGCAGTCTCTTGGTCATCCCCTGTACTGTCCGCAATCTCTTGGTCATCCCCTGTACTGTCCGCAGTCTCTTGGTCATCCCCTGTACTGTCCGCAGTCTCTTGGTCATCCCCTGTACTGTCCGCAGTCTCTTGGTTATCCCCTGTACTGTCCGCAGTCTCTTGGTCATCCCCTGTACTGTCTGCAGTCTCTTGGTCATCCCCTGTACTGTCCGCAGTCTCTTGGTCATCCCCTGTACTGTCCGCAGTCTCTGGTCATCCCCTGTACTGTTTGCAGTCTCTGGTCATCTCCTGTAATGTCCGCAGTCTCTGGTCATCCCCTGTACTATCCGCAGCCTCTGGTCATCCCCTGTACTGTCCGCAGTCTCTGGTCATCTATACTGTGTCTGCAGTCTCTGGTCATCTCCTGTACTGTGTCTGATGTCCATTGGTTCAGAATATTTTTTTCTTGTTTTTCTCCTCTAAAACCTAGGAGCGTCTTATGGAGCGAAAAAATATGATTATACAGTCAGGTCCATAAATATTGGGACATCGACACAATTCTAACATTTTTGGCTCTATACACCACCACAATGGATTTGAAATGAAACGAACAAGAGTGCTTTAACTGCAGACTGTCAGCTTTAATTTGAGGGTATTTACATCCAAATCAGGTGAACGGTGTAGGAATTACAACAGTTTGCATATGTGCCTCCCACTTGTTAAGGGACCAAAAGTAATGGGACAATTGGCTTCTCAGCTGTTCCATGGCCAGGTGTGTGTTATTCCCTCATTATCCCAATTACAATGGTCCAGAGTTCATTTCAAGTGTGCATTTCATTTAGAATGTTGCGATCCAAATGAGATCCAAAGAGCTGTCACTATCAATGAAGCAAGCCATCATTAGGCTGAAAAAACAAAACAAACCCATCAGAGAGATAGCAAAAACATTAGGCGTGGCCAAAACAACTGTTTGGAACATTCTTAAAATGAAGGAACGCACCGGTGAGCTTAGCAACACTAAAAGACTCAGAAGACCACGGAAAACAACTGTGGTGGATGACCGAAGAATTCTTTCCCTGGTGAAGAAAACACCCTTCACAACAGTTGGCCAGATCAAGAACACTCTCCAGGAGGTAGGTGTATGTGTGTCAAAGTCAACAATCAAGAGAAGACTTCACCACAGTGAATACAGAGGGTTCACTACAAGATGGAAACCATTGGTGAGCCTCAAAAACAGGAAGGCCAGATTAGAGTTTGCCAAACGACATTTAAAAAAGCCTTCACAGTTCTGGAACAACATCCTATGGACAGATGAGACCAAGATCAACTTGTACCAGAGTGATGGGAAGAGAAGAGTATGGAGAAGGAAAGGAACTGCTCATGATCCTAAGCATACCACCTCATCAGTGAAGCATGGTGGTGGTAGTGTCATGGCGTAGGCATGTATGGCTGCCAATGGAACTGGTTCTCTTGTATTTATTGATGATGTGACTGCTGACAAAAGCAGCCGGATGAATTCTGAAGGGTTTCGGGCAATACTATCTGCTCATATTCAGCCAAATGCTTCACAACTCATTGGACGCCGCTTCACAGTGCAGATGAACAATGACCCAAAGCATACTGCAAAAGCAACCAAAGAGTTTTTTAAGGGAAAGAAGTGGAATGTTATGCAATGGCCAAGTCAATCACCTGACCTGAATCCGATTGAGCATGCATTTCACTTGCTGAAGACAAAACTGAAGGGAAAATGCCCCAAGAACAAGCAGGAACTGAGGACAGTTGCAGTAGAGGCCTGGCAGAGCATCCCCAGGGATGAAACCCAGCGTCTGGTGATGTCTATGCGTTCCAGACTTCAGGCTGTAATTGACTGCTAAGGAATTGCAACCAAGTATTAAAAAGTGAAAGTTTGATTTATGATTATTATTCTGACCCATTACTATTGGTTCCTTAACAAGTGGGAGGCACATATGCAAACTGTTTTAATTCCTACACTGTTCACCTGATTTGGATGTAAATACCCTCAAATTAAAGCTGACAGTCTGCAGTTAAAGCACATCTTGTTTGTTTCATTTCAAATCCATTGTGGTGGTGTATAGAGCCAAAAATGTTAGAATTGTGTCGATGTCCCAATATTTATGGACCTGACTGTATATATATATATATATATATATATATATATATATATATATATATATATATATATATATATATATATATAGATAGATAGAGAGAATTATATTGATTAGGTTTTGCTCTGATACCCAACACCATTACCTTTGCGGTGCGATTAATGTCCGAATCACATGCGGAATCCAAATCTGACTCGGGTAGAAATCGCACCACATTCATGTTCAAATTACATGTGATTCTTTGCAGAGCAATTTGAGCCCATTCATTTTGTGTGGGCTCAAATTGCAGCGCAAAGATATCAGTAATTGTACTTGTACTCGCCGATAAAAAAAACCTGTAACTGTGCAACCCTAATATATAGTAGAAGTTCAAGTCTTAAAATTGTGCAAGCTCAAGAAACAGCAAAAAAAAACTATAGTACCAAAAATTGTCCAGTTAACAGTGAATGATGGTCCTAGATTTCTTACCCTATGAGATAGCATAGTGCAGGCAGGATAGAGTAAGAGGATGAGGATTAAAACCCTAGTCAGTTTTTTGCCATTGGTGTCCCCTTGGGGAGACTTCCCTTTACTTCTTGTCCCAAAGCCACAACAGGACATAAGATGAAAACTCTCCAAAGTGAGGAAAATCCCTGGTAGTCAAAGGATCACCAGAACAAATGTCCCCAATGGAAAACGTTCACTCTATTCATGTTCAGATGACCATTCAAAATTTGGGATTTCTTTATCGTACATCACAAGACACAGAGCAGGCTATTCAGGACTATGTGGGTTATATGCCACCTATAGGTGAATAGAGAAAGGCCGACCAATCAGAGAGGAAGTCCTTCCCAATATAACCCTTACCTACTTCAGTCTTTTCGCCAGTGTGTAAGGTGGATAGTCACTGAAAGTGTTGCATGAGCTCTAGGAGCATACCTGAAGGTCCAGAATGGCTCCATTAGAGAATCAGGGACGTTAATCGGATCCATTCGGAAAGTTGTTAGCGAAAATGGATGGTACCCGAGCCTCGCTGGATAAGGAAAAGAATCCTCGGGGTTTTGCCTGTAATGCAGATTTATGGTGCTGGACCCTGCATAACGGAACCCTGTGCAGTATTATACTAACCAAGGTGCTTTCCAGCGGGGAGCTGTACAGGTCCAAGGCAGTGGCCCCACATTATGGGGACTAAGTCCTTGAAGGTCTGCATGACAAAGCCTGCCGTGATGGGTGAAAATTGGACTGTTATGATTCAGGGTCCTTCGGCGGGAACGGCAAGTTCACATTTGTAGTATTCCTTTGAAAAATCTGACTGTTTGGTCATTTTCCCAGTGGCCACGGGGGGCAGTGTGCTGTTGGGCTGGCCAGGCATGCTGTGTGTGTCTCTGAAGGAGTATTGGGCTGCAGTTTTCTCCTCCAGCCACTAGAGGTCATGGGCCTGCTCTCTATAGCCTACACTGGTGCATCAGAGGCAGGAAGTAGATGCCATTTTAGCCTGTGTTACCATGTGGCTGGTGGTTTGTGAGGCTCCAGAGAGGTAGCAGAGAAATGGAGCAGTCTATGGCTGGGATGATGGTGTGTGAGTATTTCCTATGGGGGAGTTGAATGACCAGACAGGACATGATTATACACTGCATTAGCCTGCATAATCCCAGGGGCTTGTACAACTTGCAGGAGTTGAGTCTCCAGAGTAGCTTGCATTTGATCTGCAGGAGCTTACATTTTAGCTGCACTGAAGCAGCATGAATGCTGCATTCAGGCTGTGTTTGATACATATGTGTTTGCCTAGCATGGAACCAAGAACGTTTAGTTTTGATGCAGTTCTTTGAAACTATACGCTTCTAGAAAGCAGGACAGTTGCAGAACTGTATTACTTTATTGCATGTATACCTGCGTAGTTTTGTGAACTGTATAGTGAAATAAACTGCATTTGTACATGCATCCGTACCTGATGCTTGGGCTGCATCCGTACATGCCTACCTGATGCTTGGGCTGCATCCGTACATGCCTACCTGATGCTTGGGCCGCATCCGTACCTGATGCTTGGGCCGCATCCGTACATGCATACTAACATTGACTGCATACGTACATTTGCATGAAATGCATAAATTGCATACTTACATGCCTATGTACCTGCATAGCTGCATGCTTGCTTTACTGTGTGATCGCATAACTATAGAAAAAAGATGGCTATGGACACATATCCCTGAAGGACTGCATAGTTAGGTGACCGTATAGTTGCAGCCTTTTTTTTTTTTTTTTTTTACTTAAAGGGTCCCAAAAGATGTAGCCAGCAGAGAAGCAGGTACACCGCCCTCAGGTCTAGGGAAGGGGGAGGGTTTGGCTGAGTTAATCTGGCGGTGTTTTCATTTCATGATAAACCAGTGGTGTCAGGGGTATCTGGGCCACTGTGTTTGTCTGGCATTGCAGCTATTCCTGGTGGTGGAGCTACAATGGATTACAGCCGCATTACCCTGTACGCACCTGATCTCGTGTGAACTCGGAATCTAAACGGGGTCAAGCCCTGGTTACTACTTGGGAGGGAGACTGCCTGGGTATATCAGGTGTTGTAAGCTTTTGAATTTTATTGCTGCCTGGAGGGCTCTAATCCAAGACAAGTGGGTCATTTCCACGATTTCTCTGGGGTACATTTCCACGATTTCTCTGGGGTACAGATTAGAATTTCGTTTTTCCTCCCTCCCCGGTTTCTAAAATCCAATGTACTGATGAATCCAGAGAAGAGAAAATCTTTGTTACAGGCACTCAATTGCCTATTGTCTCAGGGGGTGATCATGGAGGTTCCAGCAGATGAAAGGTGTTCAGGGGTTTTATTCAAATCTGTTTCCAAAGTTCCAAAGCCAAATGGGGATGTAAGGCCCATTTTGTACCTCAAGGAGCTGAAACAGTTTCTAAATGTCTGGTCTTTTCGTATGGAATTGGTTCAGTCAGTAGTGGCCTCTTTACAGGAAAGGGATTGTTTAGTGTCCATAGACATGAAGGACATATTACCTACATGTGCACTATTCATTCCAGTTCATAGCACTACCGTTTGGGCTGGCTACAGCTCTCAGAGTTTTCACAAAAA